GGTAAGTGGGGTGACAGTACCGGACGGGGCGGGGGGCGCACAGATACTCCGGGGCAATAGCAGCCATTGTAATCCACCTTACCGGGGCGGTAAGTTACTGGCAGTGGGCTTAACTTGTTCTCCGGACGTGGCAAGAAAAGAAACGAAACTCATGATGTCAACCTCTTGTCACACTCACTCACTCTTAAGTCCGGCTATTACGCAGCTTACTCGAAGAAGGTAGACTAAGTTACTGCAGGGGAATCATAAGGTAATTTTACATACATAGTACCTACCATACAGCCAACTCCAACCTAACGCAATGCGGACTCGACTCTGCTGGGGAGCTGGAGATGGCGAAAAGCACAGACTTTCTGAGGTTAGTTAGTGCAAGCTTACACAGACTACCTAAGTTAAGTAAGTTTAATTCCCTGAAGTCCCATTGAGCAACACAGCTATTGAGCTGCCTCGGGTTATTTACATTCCATGCCTTCGTCCACCGAAAGAGACTCTAGAAAAACAAATGCAAACAACCATAAGCCCACCGTACTACCATTCCTTCAGAAAGAACAGAAAAAAAAAGAAATCAATTGAAATGAGGTACAGTACATCAGCAATGCCGTCGCACAACAACACACTAACTAGAACCAACAGTGTGGAGGCTAGGGGTAAATCCTCCCAGGGCGGCTGCCCGCCCCTTAGACTAGTAAGTAGTACTTGAGTATTAGTAGTCTCCCGAGCCAAATCGCGCAGGTCTCCCACCTCCACAGCCTCTGCCCTGAAATCACCAGCTAGTCTACCTAAGCTCATTATCACTTTTCCCCCAGGCACTCTGCCGTGTGATCAATCTTATTCTCTTCCCATGGTGAAAGCGCAAAATCCCCCTGCCCGGTCTGCCGTCGTGCGCTGCGCCGTCTGCTTCCCTTAGTTACTCGTTCCTACTTATCTGTGGAACAGTGCTCCTGGGTGCAGAGAAAGTGGTCATCGCTCGCTTACCAGGTAGCGTAGCTGTATGTAAACAGTCATCAAGACTCCCGACGGCTTCCATCTCATCGTGTGAGGGGTTATCTGGTGGCTCTACTGTACCTTCCACTAGCCAGATACTAGTTGGCTCGAAAGTTCATTGTCGAACAGGACCGACAGCTTGTGTGGAGAATGCGATGGGATTTATCTTTCTCGCAAGCCAGATAAAGAGGGGAAGGGGAATTTATGGTGAGGTCAACTGTTAACCTCGAGGACTATCGCTGAAGAGACGGTAACAATGTACCTAGTAGTATCAGGTTCGCCTAGATGAGTCCAATATGTCTATATACAGTTTCTCTCGTCTAAGCCGCATCTATTGAGCCAGAAACTCAAAACTCGCCATACTGGGATCCAGTAAGTTCTCATCCAACCCAAACCCATATGTGCCCACCATATCGTATATCAGATCCGGCGGCGGGAACCCTTGGGCCATGGCGTTGGCGCCCCCGGGGACGTCGCTGCTCCCTTTCGCATCGACGGCCGCGGAGTCGGCCACAGCCGTGCCATTCGCGTGCCACGAGTCCCACGAGTCAAACCGCTCCAGCATCTTTCCGAGACCACGGGCGATATGCCTCGTCAGGTGTCTCTCGCCCGCGGAGACACAGTTCAGCAGCTCGATCACCCGCTCCACTAGACGTCGGACCTGGCGGCCGTCGAGGCTGAGGTAGGCCGAATTCCAGTTGATGGCAACTTTGAGTAGAAACACGGCGGAGAACGTGATCATCGTATGGGTGAAGATCGGGACTCCCACGATTGCGTCGCGAATGTCGGGTTCTTCTAGCACCATATTTAAGCACGCCATGGCGGATGCGATGGCCGTGTTGGCCGACTCTTTGCGGTCCATCGAGAAGACGGGGGTGTTGGACGGGGACAGAGCCCGCAGGGAAAGCGAGTTCAGCTGGAATTTGGCGAAGTGGTAGTGAAGCACTACCCCTTTAGATGGATAGGTCCGCACATACGGGCTATCGCCTATACCGGGGGTAGATACGTTAGCAAGCGCAGAAAATTTATTATTCAGGCGAGAACATACCAGACCGTGGCTGCCACAGCAGCCGCCATTGGTCGATGGCCACATTGAAGACTCGTAATTGACCAAAATCTTCCTCGGTGAATGGTTGCTCGGTATCACTTCCAAAAGTCCGGTAAGCTTCCGTGAGGATCATGAACAGCGCCACCTGTGCCATGAGCCGGATGTCTCCTGGTACGACCAACGGCGATTGCAGAAATGTCTCGTAGTTTCTGATAGCGGCATCTTCGTGGATCACGGGTGGTCGTCCGTACGCGATACTGAAGTGGTGATCGCACACATACATCAGGTACCAGAGCTGAGCACGCTCGTACTGGTCGTTGTGACCGCGCATCATCTTGTGGTAGCTCTGGTGAAGACCTAGTTCGGTGGCAATGCGAACGGCATGGCCTGACAGCTTCCAGCTCAGCTCCGACAGCCAGAACGCCCCAATACAGAGCGCGCGAATATCATCCAGGGTGTGAGACCGTGTCAGAGACATGCTGGACACAAGTGATACATACTCGTTGTAGCATCGGTTCAGCGTCTCCGTACGGTTCGGGATATGAAGTGCTGCAACTGTCAGGACGGCAGTGCAGAGAAGTGAAGAAGCTCGACGGACGGAAGTCAGATCACGATGAACCAGGATAATTCCACCCCAGAGCAGCTGGTTCATCGTCCTGCTGAAGTAGGCAAAGAGCTCTTCGGCCTCGTGAAGTGAGATCAACCCGCGCGAGATGAAGTCCTCCTCCAGGAGTGTCACTTTGGGTTGTTCGATGGGATTATTCCGCAGGTTGCGCAGCTTGGTGACTTCGTATAGACTCCGCATGGGCGCTGGCACTAATTCGCGATCTTGAAGATCCGGTTCCTGAGAAGGCTCGCGTGTAACATCCATTATCAGTCCCGGCTCCGCCGATTGTTTGGTCGCGGGCGACCCATCATATGAAGGTTGCAAGTCAGACAGAGACTCGGCAGGGCTGGTGCCACTTTGGTTGTCGCCGCCAGCAAACGATGAAAGCTCTGAAAACCCTCCCTGGCGCAAAAGATGTGAGACAGCCGCCTGCAGCTGTCGGATTGTGGCTGCAGCTTGCGACTTCCACCTAAATGGGTCGAGATGTAAGTATGGACCGTACATTAACAGCTAGTATAGTGTAAACCAGATAGACACTCACATCACATCATCGTCAACAAACTTCTGGGAGAAGTCGTTCACCGTGCATTTTATGCCACTACGTGTGCATTTTGTGCAGCTTGTTTCTCCTGCTTTGAACTCACAGCGTATCTTGTGTCGCTTGCACTCCGCGCCTGAAGTACTCATTCAGTATCTGGCGTGTAGAGCTTTCCGTAATTCCATAAGGAGGGGGTGGAATCGAAGGCGGGGCTTAGCAAATATCGCAACCAGGGGAACTCACACGCGCGAGCTTTGGAGATCCTTGGGGCCGAGGGTCGACCATCAGGGATAAGAGACGGCCTTCGGTTATGCTGGGGTGGACTTTCGTCCAGATTGGCTTCATGTGAAGAGCGCTTCATGGTGTTCGACTGCCGATGGATCGGGGATACTCCGGCATTATGCAGCCAGCAAGGATAGACAGTTTGGCGAAGAGGATCTACAAGCGATCCACTAACTTTGCCCTTTAATTGAGGGGCACAAACGAAGGGAGAAATCCTATTAGAACCTAGAGCTGAAAATCAGCAGAATGGTCGCAGAAGAGAGACGTTTTGAATTGAGGTGGGGAAAAGGAAAGAATGGGAGGTGACGATGGCGGGTCAACCCCGCTTCAATAATCCACTCGACTCGACCCTGTTGATCCTCAACACCTCAGCTCCAGGCTTCTGGGTTCTACTGCCCGCCATGGATGTCGATGATACGATAGCTCAATACCATTCTTCTTGTTTTGGGAGATAAAAATCTGCCTGAGTGCACCTGTGCCACAACTGCGATCTCCTGAGCAACCCAACCCTCCCAATTGTTGACATTTTTCCTATCCAGACGGTGTTTCAGGCACGGGATCTGGGGAAAACACTGCGGGGTACGCCGTAAACTTGCAAATCTTCATTCATCACCCCCTCCATCTTCAATCAACTGAGCCTCCTTCCAACGGGAACCATACTTCAAGACAACTATGCAAGCTAGCTTAAGTGGCGCCTCCACTGAACTACTGCCGTGGTGGCTGACATCTTCCGATCTCTACCGTCATTTTTCGAGATTACGAAGACTAGCGGATCTCGCCGACCAGCCCAATTCCCAAACCCAAGTGGCCTCGCGCACTTCAGTCATGACAATTTCCATGACACAAGCATTTACCAAACTCAGTATGATGAATTCTTAGAGTAAGTGTGTTTCCGGGTTAAATCCGGGTTGTGTGGAGAAGATATACTCCTCATCTCGGAGTTGATGCGAGCCTGCGGAGGATAGTCCGATCATCATCATATGGACGTACTCAAACCATCTAGATAACTACGAAAGACACCGGATAAGTATATATCTATTTTCCAGCCAGGAGCTAACTTGAGTCTCCTTATATACTACTTTACTCCGACGACTGACAACAACATTCATCGCCAGCATGTGAAGCATTCCCATCACCTGTACCCTCAGCGTCTCGCTCCTGTTTGGGTGGCATGCGAATCGACTCAAGAGCAGAGATGCATTTTTCGGTGGAGAGTACGAGATGGTGGTGGGTTGGGTGTACAGTGACAGTACAGTATCAGTTCAAGGGTATTGATAAATTGGAAATTTTGGCATTGGCGTTATCATCAAAGCGTATATGTACAATCTGCAATTCTCGTTCCCGTCAAGCCGAAAGTGAAGAAAAATATAAGACATTCAGAAGCAAATCATGGTCACATGTGAAACCCTCCTTCTTCCCCGGCATCGATCATCAACTGCTCCAGCAAATCCATCGAAGTAACACGTAACCCTCCTCCCATTCAGGTACCGACTTTCGCAAACGAAGGGGTGATAAGAAAGCGGGAAATACTTATTTCCAAACCTGAATTAAGAAAGAAATACCTTAGCAAACCGCACGATCGCAAGAGGGGCTTAGTAGCTCGCCCAGACCTGTCCATCGATAGCCACGAGCCGATTAAACAGCTGATTGCGGGTCTTCATGGCCGTGAGCTGATAGTTCTGCTCCGGAAGCTTGCCGACCAGATTGAGGCCGTCCACCACTTCCTTGCTGCCGACCGCCCATCCGGTCACCAGCTTGCCCTTCCAGCCCAGCCCACCCACCTTGCGCATCTCGCGGATGTCGGTGACGGGCATGGTGAAGAGGACGGAGCTCTTGGAGCGGCGCGCCAAGGTGGGGTCGTCGACTTGCACCGACTGGTCGGTGGTGAAGTACAGCAGCGGCGGGGACTGCGACTGGTCGATAACGAGCACGCCGCGCTTTCCGCGGTAGCGGCCGTCGAACTGCACGGGGCCCGAAGGAAGGGTGATCTGGCCCTTCTTGCGGAGTACGCCGACGCGGCCCTTGGCCCGCTTCGAGCCCACAGCCGCTTTGGCCCGGTCCACCGCCAGCTTGCTCTCAATGCCGGTCGCTGTCGTGCCCCGGAAGAAGCCGAGCATCCGGCTCGCGAATCCTTTCTTGGGAGGCTGCGGGTGGATCTCCTCGTGCTGCGTCGAGTCAGTTTGCGGTTGCGGCGTCGGGGCGATGGCCGCGTTGATCTCTTCGTCTGTCGCGTCAAGGTTGATGTCCTCGTTGCGGACGTGGGCGGGTTGGTCGGGAGTGGCGTGCAGGGAATGGGATGGGGGAGGGGGCAGAGGGGCGCCGTTGGCTTCGCCGATGCGGAGGAGGGTGAGTGTGAGCTGGGCATTGGTGGGGATGCCCTTGAGGAGGGAGCTGTGGCGAAAATGTCAGTGGATGAAATGATGCTTTCGATGGTCTGGAGGGAGGCATACTTCTGTAGCTCGAGGAGTCTCTCCCAGCGGGGGAATTCACGGTTCAGGTATGCCACTCCACGTCTGATGATTGGGTCACCGAAAAATGCAAAGCCCACGCCAAAGGTACTCATCTTGAAGAACATGTGGCTGGAGATGATAAGGGACGCGAGGAAGCCTACTGATAGCACGCTTGCCAACCGGAGGTATGGAGTGATCATGGAGAAGGGAGGTGTCGGAGACAAAGCACTGCCGATCGTCAACCACGGATCACCCTGAGGATTCGTGAATACGGGATCACTTACTTGCCAAACCTCTCGTAGGTGTCGATGATGTCGGCAAGGATGCGCATGGCTAGGTTTGCAGCGTTGTAGACTGTATCCCTCATGGGCTCCTTGGTTTTATCGTGGGATTCATCCGTGCTCTCTCCGTGAGCGGCAGTCTGCGCATCCGCTGCAGTGGTGGCTATCTCCATGGCATCTGGCACCGATGACTCGATAGGCGCATCTTCGGGAGTTCCCTGGTCATGTTTGCCGGCGACGCTACCCACGGCGACACTGGCAACACTGGTGATGAGATTCGATGCCTCTCTTTCGGCAGCTTCACCCTTCATCTTCTCCGGCGCCCCCGTTATGCTGTCGTGAGAACCCAAAACCCCTGCCTTAGGTTTCTGTATACCCCCTGTGTCCGTGCTTACCAACGGAATAGGCGCAGGAGGGAACAGGAATTCGCGAGACTGAGGAGAGACAACCAGGACCAGAAGAACGGCGAAAAGTGTAGGCGCAAGGAGATCAAGCATCCATGCAGCGAAGTAGACCTAGTGAGCCAGTCAATGTCACTGCTGATAACAACGGTCTTTCGATGCTAACCTACAATGCAGAACCCTGCTGTCCGGTTGCGCTCCCGCCATGAACGCAGTCTTGCAATATGCTTGACGAAGCCAGTCAAGGAGACGACAATACTAGTATAGAACCGCTCGAGGGTTGCTCGCAGTTTGTCAGGGGAGAACTGCTCGTCTTCCGCGCGGTTCAGGTCGAGCCGCTGGAGGGGAGCCTCCGGCAATGCTTTGACATAGTAGATTTGCTGCGCGAGTCAGTGCCCAGAGCTCCTCTAGAATGGCTCAGAGATAGATACCTTGTTGAATCGTCGGATAAGCATCCACAAATCCTCATTCGACAAACCTGAGACCACGCGCTCGTGGATTTGTTCCGGCGGCTTGTCCCATCCCACGTCGGTGATAGTGTCGGTATCCCCAACCCTCTGGGCGAGACCCTTTTCATCCTGGTCTACCTTGGACAAGACATGGCTATCGGTGGGACCGGAAACGTCGGCAGTGGTGCGCTCAGCGTCTAGGATGCCTGCGCGACTGTTTTTTGTGCTGTAGGATACTTGCTGTGCATTGTTGGTGGTGGTATCAAGTTGAGACATGCTGCAGATGGGGTCCGAGAAGACCACACATTAGCAGGGATTAAAAGCGGAGGCGAGCAGCATATGCTTGGGAGGAGGAACGGAGCTGGCGCATGTCAAAGGGCTTTTGAAGGCGAGTTGGGAGGTGGAGGGTGGGTAATCGACGTCATCGCATGATGAGCCAGTCAAGCCCGCAGATCGGAGAACTGGTGTTCCTGTATCTTGCTGGGGAACTTTTAGCTTGATCTCACTGACATATGCGTACCTATTATAACTCCACTCTTGCTGCTTACCGACAATTGACTTCTCTTCAACCAAATTTTTTTTTTCGGTGCGACGTTCCAATTCCTGAATTCTGTGCAACTCGGTCTTGTAGTACAGTTGGTCCTGTACCTTTGGTGGTGTAAGAGAGTATAGTCACCCGCGCAACCAATCAAGGCTCAAAGGGTGTGGCACCGCCATAGTTCAGCCACAATTATATCATGCACCAGCCACACGTGGCGACTCGCTGAAAGAGGAAATACGCGTGAATCTCTCGGCCAGCGCGTTGGAAGCGAGGTTGAGGTCCAAGCCGCAACGTCACTTCGCAGGCCCAGACCTTCGCAGGTGGCCACGCAAGCTGTCCATCGGAAATCCAGGTGTGATGTGGGGATGACATGATTTCTTTCATCTCTTCCATTGGCGTGTCCCATCGAGAATTGCCGTATGCCCATGGGGTCTAGCTTTGCCGAAACATGAGCGAAACATGCGCCAATCCCCTGTTGTTGGGGTGGATCAAAGAATGGCTCGACCAGGCACGAGAGCGCAATAGCAAAGGAGCGATCGTGTGAGTAGTGTAGTGTATTGGATCTCCGAGGGGTAGATATCTTGACTGACGCTTGGACAGGTACAAGAAGGCCTATGATTCTATGAAAGCTTGTCCACTGGTCTTCCAACACCCCTCGGAAGCCCAACAACTCAATGGCTTGGGTCCGAAACTATGTGATCGCTTGACGGAGAAGCTCAAGGAGCACTGCGAGGAAAATGGCCTTCCCATGCCCGAGCACCCCCACAAATGTTGGTTCTATGCTTCTACTCTTCCACCGCCTTTTTGGATATTGTTTCGTTCTAAGATCGACGGCAGCTAGGAGTAAAAGGAAATCCGACGAGGGGGGGACAGCCGAGACCCAGCCTGCGAAGAAACCTCGGAAGACCAAGGCTAAGCCATATGTGCCAACTCTACGGTCCGGTCCTTACGCGATTATCTTGGCTCTCTCGACCCTGGAAGAGAATGCGTCCCAGGGCATGACAAAATCACAGTTGATTGAGACAGCGCAGCCGCACTGCGAGAGTTCGTTCACAGCCCCGAGCGACTCGTCCAAATTCCATACTGCGTGGGCGTCAATGAAGACCCTCCTTCAGAAGGAGCTTGTCTACGATCACGGCCGCCCACTGAAGAGATACGCTCTCACGGAGGAAGGCTGGGAAGTGGCCAAACGAATCAAGGCGGCTGCGCCGTCAGACCCGAGCCAAAGAACGTTATCTTTCCGAGCCGAGTCTGTGAGTTTTTCTAGCATCTCAGAGCCTGCAGTTCTCCATTATCTAACACGGTTTCCTGGTTAGACTCAGCCCGCTGCAAGCAGTACCATTCCTGATCGCGCACCCAACAGTGCCGTACCACAGGCTGTACGGCAAGAGAGCATCAGCTACGAAACACCGCCTCAAGATCCCCAGCTCCCTCATGCAATTGATGCGGCGTTTGATGGAACGGTCACTCCGATTGTCATCCCACCGAACAGCTTCACAGTCCAGCTGGTTTTGGATGTTCGTGAAGTGCGGTCCTCCCGAGACAGGGACTACCTTGCCAACGAACTCAGCAAGAAGGGCGTCACACCCGAGGTGCGCGCCCTCGAGCTCGGCGATGTCATGTGGGTGGCCAAGTTCCACGATCCCAGATTCCTGTCCCAGTACGGCGAGGAAGGCGACGAGATCATGCTGGACTGGATCGTGGAGCGCAAACGCCTGGACGACCTCATCGGCTCCATGAAAGACGGCCGCTTCCACGAACAGAAGTTCCGACTCCGCCGCTCCGGGATCAAAAGTGTCATCTACCTCATCGAAGAATTCACCTTCAGCCAAGACCCCACCGTCACCTCGAAATACGGCGAGATGGTCGCCTCCGCCATCGCGTCCACGCAGGTGGTGAACGGCTACTTCGTGAAGCGCACCAAGAACCTGGACGACTCCATCCGCTACCTGGCGCGAATGACCTGCCTGCTGCGCAAGATGTACGGTGCCGCGTCCCGCGAAGCACCACCGTCTCACGCCCTGGCGTTGATCCCCAGTCGGCAGCTGTCGTCCTCGGAGTCGTACCTCGAGACGCTCGAGCGGTTCCGCGCCGAGAAGCCGAGCACGACCTTCGCCGTGACCTTCTCAACGTTCTCGGCGTTGACCTCCAAATCCGATGTCTTGACGCTGCGCGATGTCTTCCTGAAGATGCTCATGTGCATCCGGGGCGTCACAGGCGAGAAGGCCTTGGAGATCCAGCGGCGGTGGCCGACCCCGCAGGCGTTTGTCCAGGCATTCGAGGCTTTGGGTGTGAAGGACCGAGAGAACTTGGTTTCGGATCAGATGCAGACACTCGTGACGCGGAAGAAGATCGCGAAGGTCTTGAGCAAGAAGATTGCTGAGGTTTGGGGTGAGGATGGATAGGTGTACAGATTGGTCGCTTGGTCGTTCATCAGTATTGGACTTGGACGTATCGATATCGTGGCCGAAGTGGGTTGGTGCAGCTGGAACACTTGGTGCTATCAGGGTAATATTGAACTGACATAGGTTGTATTGCCGGTCTCGACGCAATAGACTTAGACACTAGATTGATATTGCAGCATGAAGAACTAGTACTTATATCACATGTCCGAACTCCACCTGCTAAACAGCGAGTTCGCAAACATGCCAAGGCCTACATAATCCGTCTCTGGCGGATCACAACGAAGCTATGTAGACACACACCCTCGTCGAACTTTCATAACTCCATTTATCGAGTCAATTCAAGTAGCTATAGCGGAAATCATCAATCATTGTCTCATACAATGCCAAACACTGGCTCCAAAACAGCCACCCTATTACTCCCGATCCCTTCTCCTCCTCCACCTCCACTCCCCCGCCAAGGCCAAACTACTACACACCACCGAGATACTACTCAAAGCCATCGCCAACGACGCCCACACGGGACTCAGCCGCCAATGCGTCGCCACACTCCCGTGACCATCTGCGGCCGCCTTATGCCCACTCACGATCGGATAAAACACCCCGGCCGCCACCGGTACCAGACAGCAGTTGTATACCAGCGCCCAGGCGAAATTCCACTTCACGCGGCGGAAGACCCGCCGGCTGAGGCGCACCAGCTGCAGGATGGCGTCGAGGTCGGCGTGCAGCAGGATAAAGCTGGCGGAGTTGATGGCGACGTCGGAGCCCGTGGCCAGGGCGATGCTGACGTCCGCGGCGGTCAGGGCGGGGGAGTCGTTGATGCCGTCGCCGACGAAGGCGACGATTTTCCGGCCGGCAGATTGGGGGGATGATGGCGGTTGAGGGGGCCGCTGCTGGGCTTCGAGGTCCGTGTTCGGGTGGTTCTGGATGGAGCGGATGAAGGAGGATTTGCCGGCGGGGGTGACGTTGGCTTGGACGTTGGCGTCCGGGATGCCGAGTTGGGAGGCGACGGCGAGGGCGGTGGTGCGGTTGTCGCCGGTGCACATGTAGACGGAGATTTGGCGGCGGTGCAGGGCGCGGATGATCCGGGCGGCGGAGGGGCGGATTGTGTCGGTGGTGGCGAGGAGGAGGGTTGGTGTGAAGGGTTTTTGGGTGGTGGGATCAGTGGGAGTGCCCGTGGTGAGGGGCCGGAGGAGGAGGATGGCGGTGGATTTGCCGGCGGATTGGTGCTTGGTGAGCCGGTTGGTGAGGTCGGTGAGGTTTGGGTCCGGGTCGTCGGGGTTGGTGTTGGTGTTGGTAAGAGCGTGCACGAGGCGTTGGTTGCCGATGGCGGCTTCGAATTGTCGTTGGCCACCACTAATGCTATTGCCACTGGTGTCTTTGGTGGTGGTGGTGGTGATGGTGAAGGTGCCCTTCATGCCTTGGCCGGAGAGTTCCTCGACCTCGTCGACGCGGCAGACTTGGGTTGATGGCTTCTCGTCGCGGCAGAAGTTCGAGATGGCCCGGGCGATGGGGTGGTTGCTGCTCTCTTCGAGCTTGCGGGTGACGGTCCAGGCGATGGATATCAGGTCTGGGTCGGTGATGAGCTCTTCATGATCAGAGACCTGCAGGCTGCCTCCTTCAGTGAGGGTCCCGGTCTTGTCGAACACGATGGCGTCGAGACGACTTGCTTCTTGGAAGGCTTCGCCGCCGCCTTTCACCAAGATCCCCTGGCGAGCAGCCAGGCCGCCGCCAACGAAGAGCGCGGTGGGCGCGGCGAGGGCGAGGCCGCAGGGACAGGCGACGACAAAGACCGCGATCGCAAACTCCAGGCTCCAGAACGTCCAACCACCGCGGCTGACATCGAGGTAGTCCTCGGGAAGCGTTCCAGATAGTCCCAGGGAGAGCCAGATGACGAAGGTCAGAATGGCGATGAGGGTGATAGTCGGGACAAAGTGAGAGGTCAGGAGGTCTGCCACCCTCTCGAGCGGTGCTCGTCTGCTCTGGCCTTCTCGTACTACCGAGATGATTTGATCCAACATGGAAGAACTTCCAAGTGCAGTGACCTTGACGTCAGCAGGCTGTCCCACATTGACAGAGCCAGTATACACAGGGTCGCCCGCTGACTTGTGCACGGGTTTCGATTCGCCGGTCAATGAACTTTCGTCGAACTGATAGGAGCCGGTTCCGACTACCACTCCGTCGGCTGGGGGCGAGGCTCCATGGGGGATGCTGACCACATCATCGATTTCCAGCATGTCGACACTGATCCGCTGGTAACCGCCGTCTTTGGGGTCGGCTCCTGTGTCTGCGCCTCCCTCAACACTTTCGGGGGCCTTGAGCAAGGCCTCACTTGGTCGCAGCTTTCCCAGCGATGCAACTGCGTCACCCGTCTTGGCCTTGCTGTATGCCTCCATGAAGCGCCCAGCAAGGATGAACATGGTCAAGAAGACCACCGTATCGAAGTAGGTGGAGCTATGAGTGCTGGATGAAGACCCCATCGAGGCATCCATGATCAGCACAGCCAGGGAGGAGACATAAGCCACCATGGTACCAGCGGAGATCAGAAGATTCATACTACCAAAGCGATAGAACCTCCGCAGGATCGGTACACGACTGCCCGGCCGCCAAAGCGAGTAGATCTCTTTCATTGCTCGCACGTGGAAGATGTCCGCCCCATAGAACATCACAGGTGTGGTCATGATGAAAAGTGCCCATTCGAGGCGCGACGCATCGCCCGCCCACATTGGCTCTTCAAGGTACTTGCGAGTGGGATTGTTCGACGACACCAAAGTCATAAATACGATCCCGAGTAAGAAAGTGGGGATAGCCACTGCCAAAACAAAGATGAACCGAGTGAGGAGGCGCCGTCTTTCGTACCGTTGCATCGCTCGAGACCGATCCTCCACACTCGGCGGGTGGTATACGGTGGCTGTGAATGACTCGTGCGATTTCCCAATGGTTTGCAGTATCGTTCTTATGGTGAGGGAGGGGGGGTTGGGCGTGTATGTCACGGTGAGAATGGGGTTATTGACGGAGAGCGCACCCTGCACCTTAACATTTGGCAGGTCTTCGATGGATTTGAAGACTTTCTCCGGGCAATGGTGACAGAACATGCCGTCCACATGAACAGAAACCGTTCTTTCTTCAACGATCTCGCTCTCCTGAGACGAGCCCTTGGGGGAAACACTGTTGATCGAAGCATCGTACCCTAAGTCTTCGATCTTTTCCACGATAGCGTCAATATTGCTACGGTCCTGGAATTCGACTCTTCCGCTATGGGTGAGGAGGTTGATGGAAACTTCTACCACGTAAGGCAGTTCTTCGAGCCCGCGAGTGACCGCGCCCGAGCAAGATCCGCACGTCATGCCGCTAATGGCAATCTCTGCGATGTAAGTCGGCGTAGGCCCTTTGCGTTTCGGGGGAACAGTCAGGCTCTGCACCTCATCGAGCGACGCTTCAAACCCAGTATCCTCGATCTGCTCGACAATCTTTTCGGTATTTGCTCGCGGGCCACTAAAGACAATAGTCGCACTGTTCGTGAGTAGGTTGACGGTGATATCCTGAACAAAGTCGAGCTGCTTGACTTCGTTGGTGATGCTGTTTGCACACGAAGCACAGCTCATGCCGCCAATGCTCACGCGCGCATTGAATTTCTCTTCTGGTGACTGCGACGCCACGTTCTCTGCAGAACTCCCAGGCACTGACCGCTGGGACACGCGCCCGGCGAACTTGTCGGTAGACGGGTCAATGCTAGAATCCGCGCTGGACTGGTCGCGCAGATTACCATCCGACAGATCGGCCTCAGCGGCAAGCCTCTCGAGCTCCTCCTGCCGGCAGGCATCGCAGTTCTCGATGTGTCGATTGCCCGGGGCCAAGGTTGCAGCATGCGCACCACCGGGTGGCTGTTGACTGGCCCCGGCAAAGATCGAGTCGCGGGGCAGCCACGCGGTCGTGTCAAAGTCCGCGACGACGGAGCCCTTCGGTTCGTAGCTTGTAGCATGGTGCACGTCGAAAGAGGCGTCAATCAGCGCTTTGGCCAGATCGGGCGACTCCACGCCTGCGGTGTGCATGACGCGGACTTCGTGCGTGAGGACGGACACATCGACCTTGATCACGCCCGCAATGCCAGATAGGACTTCGTCGATGTAGGCGACGCAGGAGGCGCAGTGGATGTTGCTAACGAGGAATGTGCTTTTCAGTGACCGGGCGCTGAGTCCGGTCGGAGCGATGGCTCCGTTCCTCGTGGTGGGCTGCGACATGATTCATTCAACCACGAGGTGGCTGAAAAGGGATGGGATCTGAATAATGTTTGCCAGGAATTTTTGCGGCTGGTCAGGAGGGACAGTGAGTTAGTCAGTCAGTTCATTCGTAATTCTTCGTGGTTGTCCTTGGCTCTTGGCCTGAATAGGAGGGAGATCGTGGGTATGGGCGAAATTAAGTAAGGGGGGAAAGAATTCTTGAAATTTACAAGGAGACGATGAAGAGCGACGGATGGTATAAGTAGCTGTGTTAATTAAGTGATATCATTTATAATCATGGTTGTGGAGCAAGAGGCAACCTTGCGCGTTTTGTGCGCAAAAGACTCTGAAGCTCTAAAGAACGCACAAATCGCGCATTCCAGAACGAGGCCCGGAGACGGTGGATGAGTAAGGAAAACTTCTATGCTGCAAGGCTTAATTGACCCGACAAACAGGTCAAGCAGTTAGATTCATACTCCGGGCTCAGTGGGCTATGCAGCATGAATAAAAAAGCAAAGCCTGATTCTAAAATTTGCGTCTTAGAGATGGTGTTGAGGCAATGAGGTTCCTTAGGGTGTTCCAGAGTGCGGAGGACTGAGTGGCAAAAAGCTTGAATGCATCGAGATCTGATTAGATTATGCCTACTGGTTCGTAGTGCTTACTAGGCAGTTTATAACGAACTTACAGTCCACCGCAATTTATCCTACCATACTACTACCCATGATCTTTTCGCTCGACAATACTGTAGACTAGATCGTGATTCAATAGAACATTGAAATAGATCAGACTCGCCCGCAAACGGCAGAAGGTGGGTCGCTTCGACCAAGAAAGCCCCTTTACAAATCAGCGCCATTATAGAGCGTCATGCAGGCTGGAGGATTCCCAGGTACTGTACTAGGAGCAATGAAAGACGATACGCTTGGTGGAAGCTTAGTGGAAAATGCAAAAGAAGAAGAAGAAGAAGAAGAAGAGAGCGGAAGGAGGATCGAACGGGAGTCATGGGAGAGTTTTTCAACTCTCTACGCGTGGACGCGACACGTGACCTTTCCGCTGGGCCACCGCGTCCTCCCCATTGCAATTTTCACCTCACTCTTTCTCCCCCCTCCATCTCCCTTCATCTCCAACCAGAACCCACTTATCGCGTCTTTCACCACTTTACAACGCGTATCGAGACGTCTTATCTTTTTCGCGATCTTACAGAGATATTCAACCAACATCACTTTTCTTCCCTGGCTGTTCGCATCAGCGTAACACAGTCATCGGTGCAGCTGCAAGATCTGCGCGGAGTTACCCCGCACCTCCCCTTCTATTGTCATCCCTTATTATCCATTTTTCCCAAGCTCTCTCTCTCGACTACCTACTCTTTCATACTCTCCATATTCCCCCGAACTCCGGCTTTGGTTCGGATCCCCGCCGATCATATCAACCATCTATCTACGCCAATTCAGGCATATGGCGTAACATCTAGCGCAGTTATCGACCTCGTTTCAAGCCCCTTGTCCCTTCTTCGCGGGGCAATCCCCCTCACGCTTAATTTATCATGTCCGTCCCAAGACCTGGAATGCGGCCTATGCCGCCCAGAACTGGCCCCAGGGCTCCCCCCATGGGACGTCTGGCCAGTCTCAAGCCAACAGGTTCAACCCCCATCAGGCGGCCACAGCCGATTTCCCGGCCTCAACCGGTCAGGCCGACTACCCATCCCAAGACGACTACTTGTCCTAACCCAGGCTGTCCGGCCCCTCATATCGTCGAGGATGACGGCCAGAAGGTCTGTTCCGGGTGTGGTACTGTCATTAGTGAGGCAAACATTGTCTCCGAAGTCACCTTCGGTGAAACGTCCTCCGGTGCTGCCGTCGTTCAGGGAACATTTGTCGGTGAAGACCAGTCACATGTTCGCAGCACGGGCCCTGGCCGGTTCCATGGAGGCACAGAGAGCCGTGAGCTCACTGAAGCCAACGGTAACCGGTACATCACGCAGCTGTCTCGCGCCTTGATGATCCCAGAGAGTGCCTCAAAGGCAGCCACTCAGGTGTTCAAGCTGGCCGTCGGCCTGAATTTCATTCAAGGTCGTAGAACCAAGACTGTTGCCGCGGTCAGCTTGTACATCGCCTGCCGCCGACAGGACGGCAACACGGTCATGCTCATCGACTTTGCTGATGTGCTCATGCTGAACGTCTTCAAGTTAGGTCGGACGTACAAGGCCTTGTTGGAGGAGCTACGCCTCGGAGGCACCATCTTCCTCATGAACCCCATTGATCCCGAGAGTCTGATTTATAGATTCGCCAAACAACTTGAATTCGGACCTAGCACAATGCAGGTCGCTAGCGAAGCTGTGCGCATTGTGCAGCGCATGAACCGCGACTGGATGACTACAGGTCGTCGTCCTGCTGGTATCTGTGGTGCAGCGCTGATTCTTGCTGCCCGCATGAACAACTTTCGCCGCACGGTCCGGGAAGTTGTCTACGTGGTGAAAGTCACCGAGATCACGATCAGTCAACGACTCAACGAATTTAGCTCGACCGAGAGTGGTGAGCTAACCGTCGATCAATTCCGTTCGGTCCAACTGGAAAACGCACACGACCCGCCCTCATTTGCTCGATCCAGAGAGGGTCGGAAACCATCGCGGTCCTTCAAGAGAAAACCTGCCGAGACTGCGGCTGAGATCGAAGGCGACGTACCTGAGGCGCAGCAGCCTAGACGGGTCGACTCCGATGGCTTCGCGATCCCCAACCTTCCCATTGACCCGGCGTTGATGGCAACCAATCTCAGCCAAAGACGGCAGTCGACTGCCTCCGTCACCAGCGATGCGACGTCCGAATTCGGAGAAGACGCCCCGGCAGGTCGCCCTAAGGGGAAAAGACCTCAACTCCCCCTTCCATCGGCCGAACAGGTTGCGTCTGAAGAGGCGCTTGAGAATGAAATGGCCTCCTATTTGACACAGGGCTCGAATATGGTCGAAAGCACTGTCATTCCGCCCAAGCCAGCAGTGTCGGACAGTACAGAAATTGATGCTGCCGAGTTTGAATCAGACCCAGAAGTGGCCCATTGCTTGCTGACTCCCGCCGAAGTCGAAATCAAGGAGCGAATTTGGGTGCATGAAAACAAAGATTACCTACGAGCACAGCAGGCCAAAGCCTTGAAACGCGCCCTAGCAGAAGCTGAGAACCAGCCTGGCGCCGACGGCCGAGTCAACAAGCCCCGGAAACGCCGCAAGGGAAGATTGGGAGATGTCACGTATCTCGAAGGAGAAGGAGAAGATGGCGATGGACGAAGTACTCGTGCCTCCACCCCTGCTGAAGCGACTCGGCGAATGTTGGAACGCAGAGGGTTCAGTAAAAAGATCAACTACCGACTTCTGGATTCTCTTTTCGACGATGGAGGCGCTGACGAATCTTCGAAAGCGAAGGCCGAGAGTCTCAGTCGAAGCCGAAGTCGTAGTCAGAGTGTGTTTTCGAGGCGCAGCGCTAGTATCGAACCTGAAGCGGTCACTCGGCGAGCTGGACTTGCAGCCGCTTCGACGGCATCGCCTTCTGTGCCTGCGGTGTCGTCCACGGTGCCACCTGCAGTGCGTGAACCCGCACAGCAAGCGACTCAGCCCGGCCCCTCAACCACCACAACAGAGAAACCGGCTGCGAACGAGGAGGCCCTGGGCCCTGCTGCCGGTGAGAAAAGTGGTTATTCAGACGACGAACAGGAGGAAGACGACTATGACGACGACGAGGACGCGGAGGACGGTGTTGAGGCGGCTTTCGCAGGACACTACGGAGACTACTACGATGAAGGAAGTGATTACTATGATAGTGACTGAGTTTAGAGTCAGGAGCAGATCATCTTGGAAACCGATAAGATATCCAGGGCATGTATATATAGCTAAAACAGAGCTTCCACTAGCTGGCAACGAACTAATAACTACCATTCCAGGTTTGATCAACCTATCCATAAAAAGTAAGAACCAATTCCAAGCCTAAGCTGAGCTGAAGAACTCAACGGATTGAATGAGTTTCAAAGTTCCTACTTTGGCCTAATCTGGACTGAGCTGAGGATTTGACCACCTTCCTGTTGTGTGAATATCACGTGAGACCAGAAAGTCTTGACAACAATCGCCTCGATCTTTCGTCTGTTTTGCTTGAGTCTGGCCAGTTCTTGGAATCAGTCTTAGAACTCTGAGGCTTGCAGCATACATGGGCGCAGCCTAAGCCTGGACGCCTCAAACGATAAGAGAGCAGCTCCTCGCCCATGGCCGTCATCAAAGCGTCCAAGAACTACAACGCTGGCTTCTCGGCAATGAGAGGAGGCTTCTTCAGGCAGAGGGACTCCCCAGAACCTTCTAAGCTCTAGTCAATACCAAGGCAAGGGGTATTTGACCTTGTTGGACTCTGAAAGATGCTGCCAAGGTTCACATTTAGGCAGCTGCTCCATGGAAACCCCTGCTCGAGCTATACCTTCGCTCAACACTTTTCCACTCGAAAGATTTACACTTCAAGTCCAACGTCAATTCTGAATCGGATGACCACGACAAATTGCTGGTGATCTTTGGTTACACCGTCACCTCCTTGAAACCGCGACTTCATGTCCAGATATAGCGTCGTTCCCAGTCGGAAGTCAACCTTCCGTGAGCCATGAGGAATGTGTGAGGCAGGGTTTCTCCCCGATACAGAATGCACGAGACAGCCGGATAGAATTACTGGATGTTACCATAATCGTCGTCTGACTCTGGGATCCTCGCACTATGGCTCCTGCCCACCGTACTTTTGTGGTAACTCCGGTATAGAGCCGAACCCTTTGGTATGGAGGGTCGTCGCTTGGTCTCTAAGAGGTTAGTATGGCCTCAGCTATCGGTCCCAGATTAGCTACTTGCTCCAGGGAAGTCGGCCAGCAAGTCGTCATGCTACGTTGGCTCTCGTGCACCAAGTCCATGTGTCCCGGATCCACAGCCAGCCCACTCCGCGTTGAGCCCCCTTACCATCGTCGTCAATGGCAATCCAGTCCTTCAGGACTACATACGTATAAATACTGCCTGAGATATTGACGGTTGTGCCGATTATCTGCGCTTGCTCAAGCTTGCCCGGTTCCTATTCTTCTGACTGGGATAATGGCAAAGCTCAACATTTATGGCCGGGGCTTCGGCCTTCGCATGGCTATCTTGTTCACTTGCCAGTTAGCGTTTGTTCTTTTCGGTGGGTTACTTCGAACTGGTCTCAAAAAGTGCGGTGCGGCTGACTTGGTTCTTGGTGTTTTACAGGTTACAATCAGGGGATATACTCGGGGATTGTGTCAAATGAGGATTTCCTTGCCATGGTGGACAACCCTGGCTCGGGCATGGTGGGATTCATAGTGGCCATATACAACCTGGGATGTCTGGTTGGGACGGTGATCTCCTTCCTACGGAGTGATAAGCTTGGATTTCGAAGGTCGATGTGGTTCTCGATGGCTGTGATTATGGTGTGTAAGTGTCTATATGTCAGTGACGAGGACTATGCTAACACGGACGAATCCCTTGTCGTGCAGATTGGAGGCACAGCCCAAACCTGTTCCTTTTCTAGGACTCAGATACTCGTGACCCGCTTCTTCACGGGCATTGGAACCGGTGTGATGACAGCAGCCGTGCCGGTGTATCAGTCGGAATTATGTGATGCACGGAAACGAGGAATGTATGTCTGCAGCCAGCCTCTTGCAGTCAGTGTTGGCATTTGCGTGGCCTACTGGTTCGACTACGGGTTGAGCTATGTCGACGGCTCTATCAGCTGGAGGCTCCCGATTGCTTGCCAACTTCTCCTCGCAGCTGGTGTTTCTGTTCTTATCCTTGGGTGAGCTCCCACTTCGTTAGACGTAGTTGGTGAAGACAGTGCATCTGACGATAGATAGACTCCCTGAGAGTCCCCGATGGCTGTATCGCCATAAAAAGGAGGACGCAGCATTGCATGTGCTCTGCGACTTCTACGACCGACAAGCGGATGACCCAAAAGTTATCCAGGAAGCAGAAGGAATCCGCCGAGCCATTGAAGCTGACAACGCTCGAGGGGAGTACAAATGGTCTCAGATCTTTAAGAAGGATGAGCTTAACACCGGTCGACGAGTCTTGCTGGCCTACGGGCTGCAATTCATTAACCAGATGGGTGGTGTCAACGTGATAGTCGTAAGTCGAGACAGCTCGAAACAACCACCATCACTACTGACAGCTTGCTAGACCTATTCGACAATCGGTAGAAGCCCAACATTCATCACCCACCCGCGCGATGGCTACTGACACTTTGCCACCTTAGTTCTCCAATATAACGTGGGTCTCGATGCCAAGCTCAGTCTATTACTGGGTGGAGTGATCGAACTCATGTTTGTCATAGGTATGTTCTCACCTTTGAGACCATGATTGGATCATCGGGACGAGGACCGTTAACCACCTGCACCCCAGGCTCCTTTTATCCCACCTTCTACGCCGATCGCCTGGGACGTCGTGGCCCAATGATGTGGGGATCGTTTGGCCAGTTCCTGTGCATGCTGCTGATCTCCATTCTTCTATCGTTCAAAGGTAAAAAAGAAAAGCCCCAGCCTCTTCCGTTGTGGATTGCCAAATCAGGCAAATGGTCGAACTATCAGGGATCCTAAATTCCGTCTTCCCAGGAACCGATCTCGAAAGAGCAACGGCCACGGCGTCAGTGCCATTCTTCTTCCTCTTCATGCTCATCTTCGGAGCCTCCATCAACTGCATACCGTGGGTGTATGGACCGGAGATCCTTCCCCTGCATGTCCGCAACAAAGGGTACGAAATGCTCCCGCCCCCAGCCCCAATGAAACTGTACCCACCACATTCCAGCCGGTGGCTCCCCTGCCAACTCAACTCCATCCCAGGAGGAAAGCTGGGAGAACGATAACGAGAGCTATTTTTAATCCCCGGTTCTAGGTCCGCCATCGGTATCTCGGCAAATTGGCTCTGGAATTTCTTCGTCGCCATGATCGCGCCCGTCCTCATCAAGGATCTGGAATGGAAGGGGTATCTTATCTTCATGTGTTTCAACTTGCTGTTTGTGCCGGTGAGTTGGTTGATCTTCCCCTATGGTTCTCTGTGTTTGGCTTGCGTGGTGTCCAGTCTAATGCGGGAGGGGCTGGGCCAGATCATCTATTTCTACTACCCTGAGACGGCGAACATGAGTCTCGAAAATATCGACCAACTCTTCATGGATAAGAAGCCGTACCAACCGGAAGGGTCGAGTGAGACTACTAAAGGATCGGTGACTTGCACGGAGGTCACGGAGATCAAGCCTGCGAGTTAAGTGGTGTTGAGGTAAGGTCCTCGAGGAGTGAATTGGATGTGAAAGGGCCTCTGTGTGGTGAGCAGAGATTCGGTGAGGCGGTGGGGGTTTTCTTGATTGAAGAAGGGGGGTAGATGTGAGATGTGAGACGATAGGATGTGCGTTGTTGATGTGAAGGGTCAGAGTTGGTTTGTCGTAGTTCAAGACAGTATTTAGCAAATAGTTTATATCCTGTAGAGCCAAGTACTAGACAAGTTAATAGTTCCACCACGGTATACACCGGAATGACAATTGTGAGGATGAAAGCATTGAGACATGTACCTGGATGTGTTGTTTGATTTTATGATGGTTTCCCTCTACTTATCCTCAGTCGCTGGCTTCCTCAGTATCAGTCGCGTCCTATACTAGGTAGAGGTAGTCTCTCCTGGCTACGACCTCTCATCTCCTCAGCCACCTAAAGAGCCTGAACGAAACGCAGAAAGTAGTCGAGAAAGTTTGATATATAGGCTCCCCTTCCTTGTATGATCTATAAACCATACTCCGAAGCCCCGTCCGAATATTATCCTGCAGTGCATGCATAACGCTGACCCAGCCTGCCCATCCATTCGAAAACCCACCTATCAGTTTTCTCTCCTGGAGTGTATCTATTATTCTCGTCTCACAATCGAATACATCCCCTTCTCTCTTCTTGAAGAAAGAGCAAAAGCATGTCCTGATTATAGCTAGACTTGGCTACTACCTTGGGATTCTCAGTCCAAGTCCATCCCCCCCCCGTGTCCCCGCCCCTTCTCCCTCCAGCTTCATGTTCATCGATGGCCTTGAGTACTGTCCTGTCCTGTCCTGTACTGTACTGTGCAGTATCAGGATAGATAACTTATAAGTCAGTAGGTACAGTGGGTAGGCATACTAGGCAGGCATAGACATGGGAAGAAGCTAAGAGCCAAGCCCTAACTAACCCGCTCCCCGTCCCCTTCGCCGCTGCCGCTGGGATGCAGGGCGCAGGGGTAGTTATATGATATTGTAGTGATGGCAAGTGACGTCGATTGCAGATCCTCGAGCTCCGACTCACTCATTATCTAACTTATAGGACAGTGCGTTCGTTTACAGCGCCTGAGAGAGAGAGAGTAGGTGATGATGGTTGATTGCGGGGCGGTTGATTGCGGGGGCGCGAGGGAGGGAGGGATAGTACATACGGTAAGTACATGGCAGTATCACGGTTCTTGGGGTGGTGCTTGAGCTTCATAGGCTAGAATACCAGCGTTGGGGCTGACTGTTGTCTATAGGCAGACAAGCCTTAACGGAAAGAAAAAGGAACAGGTCGAGCAGAGCCAACTGCTGCTGGTGGTTCTTGTTCAGCATTCGGCATGACATGACATCCTTGGGAGAAGGATGCTCGGTCAGACCTGACAGCAGATGCCGTCTCGATTACGGTGATTGTCATATATCTTCCTTTATGAACGGGTTGACTGAAGCGAGAGAACGAATTGGCAGTACTGCGAGATCTAGGCTACAATGCCCTGGGGAAATCGTAGGGCGGAGAGCGGACTGACCGCTCTTTCGATCTCGCCGCGACCCAACCATTCCAACCCAACCACCTTCCCCTCTTTCACTTTCTACACAACTTGACACTCGGCTCACCTTCGTCATTTCTTTATCTTTTCATATTTTCTTTCTGCTTTTTTCTTATGCCAAAAAGTGTTAAGATCATGTCGGATGTCACATCAAAGACATGTCAAGGAAACATCAACAAACGAGAAGGAAACGAAAAGAAACCAAAGGCAAATATGAAAAATACAGAGTCGAAATGCCCATAACGGCCTCCAAGTCCATGAGACCAGCCTTATCCCACCATGTCCTATACCGTCCAGTCCCGATACGCCGATGTCCAAGAAGAGAGAGAGAAAAAAAAAAGGAAAAGATTTCACAAACATATATCAATGAGATACGGACGGGCGTGATCGAAGAGAGGAATATGAAGTGCTGCCCGAAAACATGAGAATTAGGTTAGTCCGTCGGTGGTGCTTTTGCGTTCGCCTATTATCGAGGTCGTTGAATCGGTCTTTTGTCGGTTTGTACGCAAACTTTTGAAGATGTTGTCGTGGTTGCTGACCGGATGCTGCGCTGGCTTTACGTGTCAATCTCCATCCCCGTCCCCATTCCTACGCTGTTGTTCAATCCAGCACCAAGGCCGGTCTCAACCATGGTGGGCTGGGCACAGAGGGTTTGCAAGAGAGGTAGACCAGGCTCCTGCTGAGTAGCCCCAAGGAGGTTCTGCGGGGCCGCGGAGGGAAGGCTCTGAGCAGGCCTGTCGGAGGCGCTGAGAATCTGGGTTCCTTCGAAAACAATAGGGTTGGACCGCAGATTTTGGAGGCAGAGGTTCCAGTTAGAGCCCACCAGTTGAGCCTGAGTAAGGTCATCGCTGAAGAGGAAGAAGGCAGGCACGAATGCAGGACCCATGGGCGTCAGAGGACGTGCGGTCACGAGATAGGCGTTCAATGCTCGATTCTTCATGAGGATCTCGGAATCTATGAGGTATGCGGAAAACTGACGGTCGATGTACTTCTTCCAACCGCGCACTGCCGCCGCCATGTCTGAGTCTTCACTCACGATCCGCTGCCAACTGATCCCCAACATGCGGGTAGCGTCGTCGACTGTGGGCTCCTCTGGAGAAAGGCGCGAGCTAGCGGGAAGAATGCGACGATTGTCATCGGTGTTGCTGGTATCGTTGAGCCGGCTTTGGATGGAGGAAAGGGTGATGTCGTCCACAGTCGGGGCGGAAGGATCGAGGCGCTGAGACTTGCGACTGAGAGGATCAGCTGCGCCGGATTGGAGCATCTGCGATCGAGAGGACACCGGAGCAGAATTGTTGACAGTTTTCTCCGCAGTCTCCTCGTACCAAGTGCCGGTTTGACTTTCGGCAGAGATAGCCATCTTGGTACGAGGATTCAGCAGAACCATACCCGGGCCGTAGATGGGTTGTTCTGCTTCCTGCTTCGCGGGGGCTGGAGCTGGTACAACAGGTCCGCCAGAGCTTGGAACCTCATCGTCATACCCGACATCATCTCGCGACCTCTTGCGGGAGGGTCTGGCGGTGAAGGTATTGGATGTAGTTGCAAACGCACGGGTGCCATTCGCGAAAAATGGCCCTCGGTGTGCATCAGCGCCAGGATTGAAGCGGGACTGATGAGGATATTGAATAAAAGCGTGTTCCTGGGGAGGGGACAGGACCATGGCCGGGCCGTCGGAGAGGCTGTTGAGCATCATGGGACACATGACGAGCAGGGAATCGCCGCGGAACGCAGGAGACTACGAAAAGAGCTGGGAGACGGAATCTGTTCTGTCTAGTGAGCTGGACACAATAAGCTAGAACCACCTGTTTGAGCGCAAAGATCCGGGCTGTGAAGGAATCTAGCCCTAAGTGAAGGAGGTAAGATCGAATAGGTAGGCCGCGAGGAGATAGTGTAAGGAAGAGACAGGATGAGAAGAGAATTGAAGGATTCAATCAGAGTGAGGCGAGATTGAAAGGGTGCGGGTGAATGTAGTAGATGATGTGATGAGGAAAGAAAAGGAAGAAGAGATGGATGGAGGAAGGAGAAAGAGAAGAGGAAGAGAAGACGGGAAGAGATAACAGAAGAGAAAGAGGGAGAAGGTAGGGTTATGCGAGACGGAGACAGGCAGCCAACAAGAGACGGAAGAATCACGGGGTAGAGAAGGAGAAGGAAGAATATGAATGGATGAGTGGATGAATGGGTTAAGCGACGCGTGAGAAACCCAAGAAAGTGAGAAGAGAGAAGAGAGAGGAGAGAGGGAGAGCTGAGAGGAATTGGCAGTGCACGGGAGAAAGAAAGATGAGTGCTGCAAGTCAGTGGTGAGTGCAGGTGAGTGCAGTGCAGTGAGTGCTGACTGCTGACGGATGCGGAACCAGCGATTGCGATGCGGAGAGATTCCATGAAGAGCAGGATTTGCCTTGTCTCAGTTACTGCACAATACTGCACAATACTGTAACATGGGGGTAACTTACCCTTTCTGATGGGGGGTGGTCTGCTGGGATCAGCGATGGTCGGATTCGCGTGTGACGGTACGGTACACGGTACAGTACACGGTACGGTACGGAGTACAGCGACAGAGTCTGGGCTGAGGCTAGGAGGCCTCAGGGATCCACCCACCCTCGGATCAAGCAGCTCAGCAGCAGTAAGGACGGAGCCATTATTGGTCAATGGACAATTGCCTGGGGCAACCCATCCATGCAACTGAATTGAACTTGGGAGTGGAGATTGAGAGTGTTGGCTGTCCGTGATTGGATGACAGCGGCTACTCCAAGAAAAGGCCAGTCCGCGCGTCGCAGCCCTGATCTGAGGTCCTTGCCCGGGCCAACGCCACCGCCTACCATTATTGGCTTGTGCCCTGAAAGGACATGATTGGTCTACGGCCAAGTGCGGACAATCCACCTGCACCTGCACCGAGACACTCCCCCGGCTCGGAGAAATTCTCCCCGCCGATCACTATCACCATCACCATGACAATCTGCTCAACACGAAAAATGGAACCTCTATTTGGCTTGTATAACAGGGTGATGCTTCATCATGTAGTAAAATATTGGGGGTGTCAAAAAAAGAAGAAAAGTGAAAAAAAGGTATAGTCACAAGAAGGTGGTGTCAAACACAAAATAGATATCGAAGGGGAATATGAAGCACAAGAGGGAAATGACCAGACAGACAAGCATCCAACTCCAGTCCCTCCTGCGAATTAGGCATTTCGCAAACATTTGTTCATCATCGCAACCCACGAAACAATACACCAAGCAAATTCCCTCTAAGATTTGAAACACCAGGATTCAGAAAAATGTAAAAAAAAAGAAGACCGAAGAAATAGTTCATAGGCACCGGAAGATGAGCGCTTCCGAGCCCTGAGCTTTAGGCACAGGCTACATTCCCCGCATGTGGCCGGCCCAGACAACCCCATCACCCTCCGGCATTTCCATCCCAAACGGGAACATTATCTTAGGCCAATCGAAGCCATGCATATCCAAACATGAATTTTTTCCGAACAAACGGATGATACCGGGAAATTTTTGGCCTCCGTGTCATCGTCCCACGAACAGGCCGTGAGCACCACAACGCAGATTGAATAACGGACTCAGCGACCTCAAGCGATACCACTATCATAAAGGCAGGCGAGAAA